TTCAACTCCCTTCGCACGACATAACCGGCTGCCAACCAAGGCAGCCAATGCCTCTGCTCGTAGACTCGTGCCCTCTCCAAGGAACGCCGAGAACGCAAACACAGCATGCCCATTCGAATCCCTGACCACCCCCTCCTCCACACACACCCGGATTCCCCTTAGAGCATCCATCGGTATTGAGTGTCAGCACCCCTTGGCCTCCCCCCTTCTATCGGACAACTCTGATATTGTAAACATAGGATGGGTAAGAGATCTTCTCATAAAATTGGGGGAAAGTCAGCATACCCAACTCCTTCTGAAACCGAATCTCAAACGCAGCTTTGACATCGTGAGCAATCATATTACAAATACCTTGGTCTTGCGGCTGGATACCATCAAAGACCGCTCTATTCCTGGCCTTCCAAATATTCCAGCAAATGAGACTAGGGAGCACATCCAACACAAACCTCTGCTGCCGAGACAACGCCGGGGAAAGCCACCACGTAATCAAACGTGCATGTACTTCGGAGCCCTGGACGACTACACCGCACATGTTTTGGAAGTAACTCCAGACCTGGGAGGCCAGTTGTCCCGTGGAAAATACATGCTCGAGTTCCTCTCCTGTGGCAGGCACACAGCAGAAACATTTGGACGGTAACTGAAACCCCATCCGTCCCAGAATGTCATCTAGGGGCAATCTTCTCAGTAGCATTCGGTGCATGAAAAAGGAGATTTTCAATGGAATGCTAGATTGCCAGATTCTGGAGAAAGCCATTGAGTTATTCCGAACCTGGCGGACCTCTTGGTAGGCCGATGCTAAAGAAAATTTCCCTGACGTCGTAGGCATCCAGACAGCTTCGTCAGGGAACCCCCTGCGAGGCACCGGGAGCCGTACCACATTAGCAACACACTCCGGCGGTAATATTTGTGTCAGCCGATAGATATTCCAGCTCCCATTGCACACCAATTCCGCAAAGGACACATGCGGCGTATCTGCCACTCTAAGGAACAGTGCCCCACTCCCCAACCAATTATCGTACCAGAAACTGCACTCCCCCTCATTCACCAGCCATAATATAGATAATTCTACATGCCGGCTCACATTTACCATACGGCGCCACGTTGCCGACGCAAACGGAGCGATGGTTGCTTGACAGGGGTGGATCCCATTACAATATTTTGCCCGCATGAACTGAGACCACAAAGATGATCCTGTGCGCAAACACCACCATAACTTACACGAGAATGCGTTGTACACCTCCCTCACTTGCCGAAACCCCACCCCCCCTCTTCCACCGGATAACATAGATTGGACCACCGGATCCAGTGGTGCTTCACTTGCTCGTGCGATGAGCCCCATAAGAAATTGGAACACAGCTTCTCAATGCTTTTAAATATTACACCAGGGACCACTGCAGCAGATAAGAGATGAATGGGCATGGATGTTAGGACGTGCTTGATCAACACCAGCCTCCCTCCTGGAGATAATAGTTTCGACTTCCATGATATAATTCGGGCGGCAATCTTATGACACATCTCCCCATAATAGGCCGATTTGCACCTTCCCAGATATAGAGGGAAACCTAGATATCGAACGGGGAACTGCTGGCGGGAGAATCCCGTTACACAATAGGAGATCAACCGATCACATCTTTCTCTGATTTTTTCATGAAACCATGGTGATGTGCGCGGGGTATACATATACAATTAGCTCATTCACAATCAAGTTTTATATTTATAAACTCCTAAATACCCCACACGCAATTTATCACAAGTATACGAATCGTGAGCGAGTATAGGGTATTAAAGGTCGATCCCACAGGGAAGATTGCAATTACTGGTGATTTTCGAACTCCTTTATTATCTAGACTACCATAAATATAAAAGTAATGAAAATTAACACTAGAAAACTCTTAGAGATATGGAATTCCTCACTACTCTTGTAAATGAGATTACCGGTTAAGTGAATGCTATTATCTTGACTGGTTATGGCGTAATTTCCTAATGTATGTGAAACCTACTCTCGTAGTGAATCAACTATACTTGTATTAAGCCATACCTACTCTCGTGGTTATGAAATTAACTACAAGTTCATTTCTTCTATGAAATTACATGAAACAAGTCACTTAAACCATATAGGTGCACCTATACTTTCGTGAGTGAACTCCTTATGTTTATCACTTCCTTGAACTAGTGTTAAATTCCAATCCTTATTGCAAATTTAATACCTTAGATAATCACAATTAATGGCCAGTTAATTATGATGAGAATATCAAAAGTGATAAATAGCTTGCTCGAAATAATATCACCAAATAACCAAATAAACATCAGTAACAAAATATAGAAAGTTCATCCATACTCTAGGCATTAACTTTAGAAACACATAAATAACATAAAATCCAGACTTGTGTATTAACTAACAAAAGAATCAAGTATAAAAGATAAAGAGTTTGGAAGGAATGTAATCCTTGTCACATGAGTTCATCTCCTTGCCTTCTTCATCCTCCATCTTCTTCTTCATGTAGCTAACATACAAGAAAGATAAACTAACTAGCTAAAACTATCCTACACTAAGGAAATGGAAGAACTACATTTCTGCACTCTTCAAGCTTTCTCCCATATGATAGTCTCTGACCTCCCAAATGTCTCTGCATATAAACTGATGAAAAGCTCCTCTCCTCACCAGTCCAAATTTTCTGCTATGATTCTCCAAATCTCCTTTTGTTAAGCCATATTGTCTGCCCTTTTGTCTTCTGAAGCATGTGCACCGAATTCCCTTGCAACTTATATCTAGAAAGTAGTCTGAACACAAGAGAAATGGGTGAGAAAATTGCAGAATTTCGGCTACAAAACACGCCTACACAAAACGCGGCTTGGAGTCGCGTTTTGTCAACTCGCGTTTTCAATTCTGTGAAATTGGTCTCGCTTCAACTGCAAATTTCTCTATGATGGAGGCCAAACTAGTTTTTGTGCAAAACACAAAAGTTGTAACCCTTTGAGTTAGCTTTAAAATGCTTCAAGAATCATCCAAATCGGAGCTTTGTAGACTGAGATATGATTGAAATATTATCACCTAATCAAACCCCTGTTTTCAACTTTAGACAGCAGTGTTGAATTTTGGTATTTCGACCTTTTGACTGAGAAAACGGCTGAATTGGATTCTGATGTCTTCATACCAAATTTAGATCTATCTCTTAGCTTCAAAATGGTATAAATGTCATCTCAATCCAATATGTGTAGCTCCAGATATAGTCGAAATACGAAAATGTGTTAAAGTTGTTTTCACTTGCATTTCTTCAATTCACTTCATTTCTTCTTTATCACTTAAATTCATCACCAATTATCCACTTTTCTCCTCAATTGACATCCTTTGGTGATTGAATTATTAATCCCGCATGAAAATGAAGTTTTTATCATTAAAATCAATAGAAATACAATGTTAGCCACTTTAACATAAAATGTAGATTTTTACCAAAACCTTAGTTATTTTAGTTATAAAACTAAATAATCAAACCAAAATTAACTAATAAAATGCACTTAAAAATATGTAAAATAAACCCTTATCACATGAGATGAAGGAATCCTACACAAAATTGCTATTGGAAGCCAAAGCATTTTAGAGCTGCTATATGACAAGCATAGTAGCATTCTTGTTAAATCTTTTCATCAACCATAAAGTCACACTCAAGAATTTAGCTAATGATAAATGAAACTTTGAAAAGCAATGATACAAGAGAAAGAGGGATTGAGAGATCTTTTCGGGACAATTGCTCGTCAAGTGTTAGTAATGTGGATAGGTGCCTAAAGTACTCTTTTTTTTTTCGTCCGTTGGTCTAAGTTACATTTTCATGATTTTAAACCCAAACTTGGGAGTCTAAGAACCTAAAAGGGGCTCCTTTGACAGTTAGTGGGCAAAGAAAATTTCTCTGTTTGTCAAGTAAACTGATAAAATTGCCCTTTTGTTTTCCTCTTAAAAGATGAGTCAAGTACCATTATATATATACACACACACATTTACACACATCCAAATATGTAGGTATGTACAGGACATAAACTTGGGCTCATTTGAATTTAGTTTGAATCTAATGGAACCTAAACTTGATTCATGATTAAATCAGGCTTCATATTTTAAGTCCAAACTCAGCCTATCCGGTATTACAAGAGACACGATCTCTTTTTTTGGTTGCCAGTTTGAATGGGGCCAAGCTTGGGCCCACGCTAACACCTTCACTAATCTCATCATTCATGACATTTTTCAAAAGAAAATTTCATTAATGGATTGCTTGAAATTGTCGAGTACAATTTGATTTACATCATTGTTCCAATGAAAAATTAAGCATATACTAGAAATTATAAATCTGCAATTTAATAGAAACAATACATCTGAAAATTATGAACAAATTTTAAAAATGTAAGAAATTTTAAAAATTGTCTTCTAATAAGATTAATTGCTATAACTCACTTCTTTGCATGTTATTATCACCAGATCTATTAATCAACAGTTTTAAACTCCATTAATGATAATGAGATTTGTCAAAAATTTTCATCCTAAAAATTTTCAAATCTGACAACCAAATTTGAGATAAATTTAGATCTAATAACAAAATAAAAAATAATACAAAAATCTCTATAGAAATCCCTAGGAGAATGGAAAATTCTCACTAGGAACTCTTAAGAGAAATAAAAAACTTTCACTAAAAAAACTTAGAAGAGATTTTATTAGAAAAAACAAAATAAAACTAAACTTATGGGTGTGATCTCCTTCTTTGAGAAGAAGGCCTCTGAGAAAAGTAGAAGAAGTAGAGAGAAGTTAGAGAAAAAAAGAGATAGAAAAAAATTACTTAAAGACTATTTTAAATTTCTCAGTCTTTCATGACTTTGTTTTGCTTCAACTACCAAAGCCAAACTCTAGAAAAAGAATTTGTGTAAAATGGTCGATATGATAACAGTAGTACTGATAATAAGATATCCAATACTAATTCGTAAAATTAATCCAAAGAAAATGATGTATCAAAATTATCCTACGCAATGATCTCATCCTTCTTGCATTCTCTAAATTTGACGACAGCATTTTTGGCCCCATCCGTATAAGAAACGTCACAGCATTCACATCTAGTGCTCTGTTAGGACAAGAAATGGCACACAACTTACATTAGAATGGACATTTGTAAAGCAACGAAATAAGGAGCAAGGAAAAAAATTTAGGATACAAATACAGATTTAGGGGTTTGAAGTCGATAGATGACATATAACCTCTAATCTTTTAGACAGGAGTAACATAAATCTCTTGAAATACTTAGTATCCATTTTTATTTAATCTAACCTGAGGGATTTTCTATTTCATCCAAAAAGCGATTCAGTAGTTATTATGTAACTGTAAGATCGTGTTCCTAAAACTTGTCAAGTTTAATGCACTAAATATAATGTGGTAACTCCTTAATGAATCTGCTAAAAAGGAAGCATGTTGAATCACTATAGGTAATATTTGTTCAGAGATTTTAGGCACCATGAAGAATACTTTATATTGAATCATCATGATCGCCTAATTTCCACCTGATAATTCAGACAACAGAAAACAATTCTACAAGGTTTGATACTGGACCACTTCTACCTTGCATTTTTTAACCTTTTGCTGTTTTAGATTGCACACAAAGCTTTTATTTTGAATATTTTGCACAATAAAGTATTCATGAGATCTTGATTTGGCCCAAATAATAATTGTATCAATGAAATTGAAGAAACATCGGCAGATTACCGTCATCATATGACTAAAACTGGTTGTAATTAAAGGAAATCTATACCTGATGCACTTGTATATTGGTAGCATCTTGGGCTGTATTTCAAGCACCTAACCCTAAAATGGCGAGGAAAGTTATTTATTTTTATTTTTTAAAATTTCCATCCTAATAATAATACACCATTGGCAAATATTAAGCTTTCATCTAGTTACAGAAAGTTGATTTTTTGCTACTCATTTCTTTTTCCTTTTTATAGTTTGTGTTTCAAAGTAACTTACACATTGACAACAAGCATCAACAACCTAAGTTATAACCCGACTTGAACCTTATAAGAAAGATTGAATGCTGTAAACCAACAAATATATAAATTAAAAATTCTGCTAAAATATAAGGATTACTTGAATAACGAAACCTAACTTCTTCAATATGAATCGGTAGTATTATCTGATGGCTTTACCATTTACTTGGATAATCAGATATCATGAGATTTCTTGAAGATTTACTGAAGTTAAAATTGAATCTAGAGTGTAGCACTCATTCTAACTTTCTGAACTGGCGAGAATAAGAAAACCCTAATCTCCAATGTTCTCTGAAAATTTAATATATAATTCCGAACTTGAATTCACCATCAAACTTCCAGAGAGAAATTTAAAAAAGAAAGAGATCAAAGAGTAATCTCTGCTCCTCGAATCTCTGTTCCCAATTTCTCCAATTTGGAGAATTAAACCTTAAACTTTAATTTCCAACTAATTCTCCTCATGGAATTTTCATTGAAGTTTAGTTACCTACTGTTCTTGTGGAAGTTGAGCAAAATTTACTACTTCATGGATTGATCACGATCGGGGAAAATGATAATATAGTTGTGGAAATTTGGAGGTAGTTTTTATTTTTTCCAAATTAGAACCCTAACTTTATTATTTTCCATTAAAAGCTCATAATATAGGAATTACGTATGTCATAGGGGAGACAAAGATGTTGATTTTGGAAGGCGGAGCTTGATTGTGGATTAGGGCTTCTGATTACATTTCAGATTTTTTTTAAAAAAAAAATTAAAATTTAGCATTTTTTTTTTGCTTTCCTTAATTGGGAAAATAATGATTTGAACTGAGTTCTAGAATTAATTGAGAGTTTTACTAGTTTGACTTTTTCCCCTTTTTGTGTCTTAATGGTGCATGTTTGCGACATGTGACCAGTTCTATTAAAAATCTCAAATTTGGTCTTAAAAGTCCTACATTAACAATGTTTAAAATTTTAAAATTGGTATGAAAAGGCCTATATTAACTATGTTTGTCAATATAAGAGAATAAATTAGCTAGTAGTGCAAGATAAGAGACTATTTTGGACCGTATCCCAAAGATAAAGGGACAAAAATAATAAATTTCTTTTTATTAAAAATCAAAATTCTAAAATGCAAAATGTTGAAATCAGAAAAAATCTTTATAACGAAATATGCGCACAGTGCATTCAACCATGTGGTAAAAACTTAAGAAGAAAGAGTATTAGAACAAAGTAATGCTTGCCATTCTTGGTGAGTTCTTTTCCTTCCATTTCGGGAAGGTAAACATTTTTTGAGGTAAATTCACGTCTTAACTGTAAGGAAGTACAGAATTTTTTCTATTTACATTTTTAGTATCTCTTCTTTGACACTTGCTTAGATTTATCAATGGTACTATATAACTGTATTATCAATTAGTTAAAAAAAAAACAGCGAGAGAGAGAGAGAGATTCTGATTGGATGTCTAAGAAGACCCAAGTTATGCTAATTCCAATAAATTTGAATTTGGCAACATTCATGGAGTTTCTATCACTTTCTTTTTACTCCACCAACAAATTAAGTTGGCATAATTAGATGCTTCTAGAATGCTGAGATCCCAAAATAAAACTTCAAAAATCAAGGAAAATTAAATGCAGAAAAAATGTATAGCCTTGTACTTACTTGTCTGCGCTTTGTTGCCGGAGAGTAAACATGTACATGGGACACATAATCAGCAGGGAGACTGGCAAAACATGGTGGTAACTCTCTAGGCCTTGATCGATAATAGCTTGTAAGAATCACATTTCCTGGCATTTTTTCCATCGATTCAAAGAAGAAAACATGGGGAGTTTCACAGGGATCATTCTCGGTGAATCGAGTGGTGAACATAAAATGTGGTGGATCTGCATTTGGAGCTACCCACTTTTGAAAGGTTTCAATAGCGATTTGTAGCCAACTCCTAGGTATTATTCTCTCGTACAGATTGACTGAGTAGCCCCATGAAATGGAAACTGTCCATCTATGTTTCCTATGGAAGCAGATAGTTTGCTGCAACAAACGTGACTGGTCAATATTTCCTGCTTTCATCAAGTGGCGAATGGCTTCTGCACGATCCATGCCAGGGAAAATTGGCTCTACTTCATCAAAATGGTGGAGGGACAACAAGGGTGTCTTGGGGTGAGCTGATAGGAAACCAGAAATGTCGCCATTCATATCTACCTGCAATAGAAAATGTCGTGATTGGCGATAAGCCTTATGGTTTGATTGCTTTTTTCTTTGTTTTTCCCCATTGGAAGAAACAATTTTGATTTCATGAGCAAGCAAGGAATCTTGGGTTTCATAACAGTGCATGAGAAGGCATAGATGGAATCCGAAAGTTCATATTGGTGGGGCGAACTTCAATATAGCTAAACTTATATATACTATGTAAAATCATTTCAAGTTGTTGGCGAGGCAAAATTGCAACTTTATAAGGAATACAAATCTTATATAAATAAAAAATAAAATTTTCTAAAACTTGGGGGCAGAGGCCCTCCCCATCCCCCTAGTTCCGTCTCTTTAAGAAGGTATCCAAAAGATGAGTTGAAAAAAAAACCAAAAAAAAAAAAAAACCAATCCAAATGGGTTCTAAAACAGTCCCTTATTTGTTCCTCGGCCTAGTTCCAAAACAAATATAGAATAAGCTAAGTACCATTCTTACAACAAAATTGCTTCTTTCTTTCAAAGTTCTGACTTTTGTTACTAACGTTAAATTAGCGTTAAACATTATCATGTTTTGTTCAATAGGCTTGATGAAAAAGCAATGACAAATTAAGCAAGTTTAGTGCTATATTTTTCGTGGCTTTTTTTGAGGTAAAGATCAATTTTCCAGTACAATGAATGCAAATCTAATTACCTGATGAAGACCTTTCTGGGGAGATAGATTTACTCCAAGATCAGATATACAATACATGGCAATTATATCAAAAGTATTCATATGTGCATATCTTCTCAGACAACCATTCATGTCCTTTGCTAAAGCTTTTGCTAAAGGATAACTTAACGCGATTCCTGCTCCACCAAATCCCATGTTAAATGAGAACCAAAAATTCGACTTAACATAATCGGATTGGCAGCCAATGTAGTAGTAATCTGTGTGATCATACTTTGCAAGAACATCAACCAAATTATCAACAAAAAATACAGTATCATCATCCCCCATAACGAGCCATCTGAATCCTTCTTTATCCCCCTCCTTAAACGCTTCAAGAATTGTATGTACCAAACGAATAATAGGAGGCACAGCTGGAGCGATCTCTTTTATGAGTTTCTCTATATTCTCTGAGACCCTGTAAGGAGGTGAAGCTGAAGACCAAGGCAAAAGATCTCCTTCTGGAGCTGTATCAAGATAGAGATGCCCTCGTGTTACATTCGGTCTCCACCATGCTTCTCCATAGCCCTTCCTGTGATGCCATGCTCCCTCAGAACCAAGAATTGCAAATAGCAGGTGGCTAATGTTAGTAGTAGAATCATTAGAGTTTGATTGCAAAAGAGTTTTTTCTGGGTTTGACATAGCCAAGGAATTTGATGGGGGCTGTGAATCATCAGAGTTCAATTGTAAAGTGGGTTTTTCCATCTTGGATATAGCTAAGGAATTTGCTGGCAGCGTTGATTGATTCACGTGAAACAATACCAAACAGGAATACAACACTAAAACACAGAGTATCATGATTTTCAATAGACTGGCCAAGCGATTAATTTGTGAAAGATTTTCCAAAATTGATGCAGATTTGTTTGCTAAATTAGATGACATCTTCTGGGAAGTTGAGAAAAGGAGAAAGTTGAATCAGATGAGGCAGCAAGAAACTTTTGTTGCCCAATATTTTTACACCGCTTATAGATTCATTTGCTATACATAATATTTAGCAAGTACCTAATTAATAATTGCTACAGCCACACTACTAGAGAAAGCCAGCTCCGTAGACAGGCAGCCTGGACTAATATTTGGTAAAAGGCAACCCAATCTAGGAAAAACTAGCATATGTCTAGGCCTTTTACATGTCTATGAAACAATTAGATTTAGGAATGGAAATGCACAAAAGCCTAGCCATGAACGTTCTTATTTTATATAAAAAAAAAAAAAGAGAGAGAGAAGAATAGTGGAAACATTATTCTTTTTATTATTATCATTCAGTAGAACCATGACACAATATTCACCAAACTAACAAATACGGTTTTATTAACCGAAAGCTACATTTGCTTTTCGGATGTTTACTTTTGGCCCATGGGCTTTTCATTGGTAATTAAATAAACCAAGAAAAAAGAAGAAAAATAATTTGCTAGGAAATTGTCCCCAAGATCGAGCATACTTAGAAGGGACATTAATAAAAGGATTGTGATATTTTTTATTCGACTTTCAAAATTTTTCCTTTTGCCTTCCTCCTTTGTGAGGTCTTGAACCATAAATTACTACATAACTATTTAAAATGTTAAGGAAAAAAAATAACTTGGGCTAGCCATATCAGTTAAACCTCAAACAGTGTGTCGAAATATCCAACAAGTAAGACGATGCATTTTTTTATTATTATTATTTCTGTTTTGTTTAGTATGATGATCATTTAGAGTTAACTAACTTAATGCATATTGTGGACAACTTTCCTATTAAAAGCAATACAAGTTGTTATTTAATTATATACCTGACGGGATTTTTAGATCAATGCAAGTTTAAATCCGATTTTACACCCGTTGGACTGCAAGTATACAGGTCGCAATTGTAGTACAAGATGTGTATCGGGTCGATCCCACGAGGAGCAATTTAAACAATTACTAAGTCCTTGTTCTCTCTATTATTTAGACTTACAAATAATTTGAGCAGAGAAAGTATAATGCTGTAATCTACAAATCTGATATACAAGTCTAGTTTACAAATGCTTAATGCAAATAGAGAAATTTCACTTAAGAAAGATTCTAGGGATGTAGATTCCACTTATGGCATAAACAATACAAATGAATAGATTTACTTCTTGCTATTATTCTTATTTAACCAGAGATTCATTTCCAAGATTACCAAGTCTCATATTCATGATGAAATGGCCTAGAGCAATATAGATTTCCCTATTTTCATGGTGAAATACTACTACTACTCCGTTTTATTTCATGAAATGCTCAATAATCCACCTAAGTGTATCTCTATTTTCATGAACATACAACTCAAGCTCTACTCATGTGTTTCCATTGTTATTACCAATTCTCATTGAACAATAACAACTATAACCAAACTATTGGTGATCAATCAATAGCAAGTAATCACAGCTACACAAGTAGACAAGTTAATACAAGATATAACAAGTGTAAATCACATTCAATTTATACTATTTAGCCATAAGTTTCATCTACTCCCTAGATGAAGGAGTTTAGCTACTCATGAATGATTTAACAATCAAACTCACAAGTTTATTAATGCAAAACCTCATAAAGTACAAGTATAAGAAAGATAAAAGAAAGCTTAGCCAATTGAAGGTGAAGCTCTCCAATTCCTGCTATGTTCTTGCACAATATGATTATAAGTGAAACTCTCCAAGTACTTCTCCAAGAACTCCTATCTAGAGAGAAAACTAGATTCAAGAAAGAAAACTAGCTACATATGGTAATGCCAGGCTTCTCCTCTGTGTTTCTGCATAAAAGGTGGAAGAAATTCCATTCCTCTCACTTCATAATTTCCTCCACTCATATTTTGTAAAAAGAAGTCAAAGATATGATATTTCCTTTTGTCCATACTCATTTGGTCTTCTCTTTTGTTGCAGAAGCATGTGCCACCGATTTCTGTCCCTCAAAATAGCTGGAAAGTTGTGAAAAAGGTAAAGAAAAACGGCTGTTGCACTTGCTGAGGAGAGAGACAGATCCGAGCCTCGGATCCGAGGAATGAAAATGGATCCGAGCTCGGATCTTCAGGATCCGAGGGATTTCATAATGGATCCGAGGTCGGATCGTCCTGACCTCGGATGCTCTCCGCCAGAAGTACAGACGAGGGTTCGGATCTATCTTGTGCACACGGATCCGAGCTCGGATCTGTGTTGACCAATTTCCAGTTTTTCACTTCTTCTCTTTTTCTACATTTTTGCTCCCAATTTCTTGTGTACTTTGTCCTCTGGATGACCCTTACATTTCTTTGAACTTGTGCATGAATTTCATACATCAATTACCTTCACAAATTCACAAGATTAACGCATTAATTCACTCATTTATCAATTTTTGAAACCTTAATCAATATTTAAGCAATTATCACCAAAAGAGTTCAAATATGGCTTAATCTTCTCAGAACATACCAAAAATTAATGCCAAATTCATACAAAATGTACGTTAAATATTCACTTATCAAATTCCCCCACACTTGAATCATTGCTTGTCCTCAAGCAATTTTTTTACAACTTACTTCAACTATTTTAATAGATAAAACAATATACGTACTTTTGTCAAATTTAATTCCTCAAAAACCTAGAAACCAATCATTATGCCATTTCTCAGATTACACTAAATACTCATATTATTTAATTAAATAAAAATAATTATGCCTTAATTTCAACAAATTCAAATCAATTCTCTCATTCTATCCTAATTTCACAAATAAGTAAATCACATAGTCAATTTTATGGCCTTCCTTATCCCAAAACTTATCAATTTAGAGGGATTTATTCACATTTCTTCTTATTTAAATAATGAAAATGTCTTTTTACGCGAAAATCAACACTTTTAGGTGAAAATTCCCGGTTACTCAACATTTCACTTATTTAAATTGCTAAGCATACTCTTAATTCCAATACCTTTTTACGCGAATGTCGACATTTGTAAATGCCAACCCCCGGTTACTCAGTATATGAATCATTGGAGTAGAAAAATAATAATATTATTTTTTTTTTTTAACATATAATTTCTTTTTCCCTCTAAGTATAATTAAAGGAAGAATTTGGCCTTGTTTTTGACTATATCAATCACTTACTTATAAAATTAAGTAAAAATGATAAATCTCATTAATTTTGCAAAATTCTAAGCATAATTTTTCTTATTTAACCAAATATACTTTCTAAAATGTAAATATCCTAATTGCATAATAATTCATTCCAGGCCAAATAAGAACTAAACTTTTCCAAAATACACATAGCATTTTATCCAATGGAAGAATTAGACACTTAAAATTTTAACATTTTGGCCATTTTTATGGAAGAATTGTAATGAAATATTGGAAAATATTTTAGAAAAATTTGGACAGAGTTTCCCCATAAAAATGGATGAAACTCCCTGCCAACAACCTCAATTTTCACAAAAATTATCCTCATGACTATCTCCACATATAATTCCAACATTTTTAAGCCATAGACAACTAAAATCATGCATTTCAACACACAATCACCCATAAGATAAGTAATCCCTCCCCCACACTTAAAATCTACAATGTCCTCATTGCATAGGAAGGTAAAAGAACTGAAACTTCCCTCACATAGGTGTGATGTTGATAAGAGTTTATTTTACGTATTTTTAGTGTGTTTTATTAGTTAATTTTGGTTTGATTATTTAGTTTTATAACTAAAATAACTAAGGTTTTGGTAAAAAACTACATTTTATGTTAAAATGGCTAAACATTGCATTTTATGGATTTTTATGGTAAAAACTTCATATTTTGTAGGTTTAATGATTCAATCATCAAATGAAGTGCATTGAGAAGATATTTGGATGATTGAAAATGAATTAAAGTGGTGAAAATAAAATATGAAGTGTAAAAGGAAAAAAATGCAATTTGGATCAAGAAAAGTCAGGTTTGACAACTCTGACACATTTTCGTATTTTGACTATATCAAGAGCTACAATGATTGGATCAAGGTGATCTTGGTACCATTTTGAAGCTAAGAGATATATCTACATTTGGTATGAAGACATCAAAGTCCAATTCAGCCGTTTTCATAGTCCAAAAGTTGAAATACCGAAATTCAACTCAGCTGTCCAAAGTGGAAAACAGAGCTCTGACCAGTGTTTAGTATTTTGATCATATCTCCGTCTGCGGATCTCCAAATTAGATGATTCTTGAAGCATTGGAACGCTAATTCAAAGGGCTACAACTTTTGTGTTTTCCACAAAAGCCAGTTCGGCCTTTATCATGGATAAAAATCGCAGATAAAGTAAGGCCAAAGTGAATACGCGAGTACACAAAACGTGACTTGTAACCGCGTTTTGTGTAGGCGCGTTTTCTGGCCGCAATTCTGCAATTTGCTCAGTCAATTCTCTTATGTTCAAACTACTTTCCAGCTACAATCTGCAAGAGAATTCGGTGCACATGCTTCAGAAGACAAAATGGCAGACAATATGGCTTATTTTCAAGTCAAAAACAATGGTTTTTGACTATCTTAACAAAAGGAGATTTGAAGAATCATAGCAGCAAATTTGGATTGGGAGAGAGGAGATTTTCATCAGCTTATATGCAGAGACATTTGGGAAGAAACGAGAGAAGATACAGGAGAAGCTAGAAGAGTGCAGAAATGTAGTTCTTCCATTTCCTTAGTGTAGAATAGTATAGGTAGAGTAGTTTATCCATCTTGTATTCCCCCTCATTCACCAGCCATAATATAGATAATTCTACATGCCGGC